TATAAATATTTGAGTAAATAAAAGAGTACATCATTCATTTTTATTTTTAGAATCTTATTTTAACTGCACCAAAACCTTTAACGATCCCAAGGTTGGTATAGGATGATAATAAGGGAAGAGCCATGCTGGATCAGGGGATAGAGCGTTCGCCTACCAATGAGGTGAACTGGGTTCGAATCCCAGTGATGACTGTGCAATACGAATCCGCAGCCGGCTTGCATCGACCGCAGTTCTGACGTGAAATATCCTCAGTGGTAGACGGATCATGGGTTAGAGTCTCTTTGCCGTCAAGCTAACCGCGGGAGGTTCTCGTGGTCTTCCTCTCCATGTAACGCAAATGTGAGTTAGTTCCATCAAGAAGACCACCACGAAGACAAAGTTACAAGGCTACGGAGTTGAACATTAGTAGTCGTAAAACCAAAAAAAATTGGGTCGGCTGCTCAACGACGGTTATAAAATTTAAAAAAATAATAAGGAAGAGAAATCTTTTTTATACACGTCAATAGACTATGATTGTTCCAAAATTATTTGAAATATCGTTTTCAAAATTCAAGCAAAAATCATTTCGATTATTTTTTTTTTAAAATGAGTGTTATATATATTTTAAAAGTCCCGCAGTGGACTGATCGTTAAGACACGGTTCCCAGCAGATTACCGAAGTCAAGCATCACTAGTTGCGGTCAGTGTGCGGGTGGGTGACCATTTGGATCAGTCTGCGTAGGAACCGAGGGTGGGCGGTATTGGTCCTCGTTAAACTGTTCTACCGTAAAGTGCTCAACTTCGTGTGCACGTCGTCGGGCTACCGAAGCAGGGGTGCCGTCCCCTCTGCAGAGGATCAAAATTGTGATGGCATGTCTTCGGATAATCCTCAGGGATGTTGCCCAGACAGTCGTCAATAGCCCGTTGTGCAGCTCTAGTGCGACGTAAATGAACTACATCAATATATTTTAAAAAAACGTAATCCAATAATGTTAATATATTTTGTATACACTCCGTCTCATATCGTTACGTTTTGTAGATTGCTAAAAGATTTTTAGAGCAAGGAATGGTCTGTATTGATTTTTACATATTTTTTTAAGACATTTAAGTATTTAGAACAAATTTCCTGACTTTTAAAAATTACCTGAAAACAAATCAAAAATGACGTTAAAAATTGTTATTTTCATTAGAGTTGCATTTCAAAAAAACTTATGCAAAAACGAAAAAAAAGCATATTAAAAATTTTTAGTATATTAGTATTAGTATATAAATTATTAGTAAGTACCTAAAAATAGTGCTCTCTACTAGTATTTCCACGATTAGAAAAGGCGTACAGTAGAAAAATGCTCTAAAATCAGAAAAAAAAGAGGAAGAAAAGCAGCTCTAAAGCAGAAAAGTGTTCAAAAATATAACAAATGTCATCAAACTGTGAACATTATTATCCACTGCGCGTTTGAACTATCTCAGTTTTCTGAGATACTTTTAAAACTGTATATATATGTATAATTTATTTATTTATGCAGTTTTATAAGTATTTTTATGCACAGTGTTCTTCAGAGTTGTTCTTTTTTCTGCAGTATATAAAGCGTTTAGGGACCTTCAAGAGTCAAAAAAGTACTAATGTTAAAATGTCTCGTTACATTTTATGTCGAACTCAGTTTAGCAGGTATGTTGAAAGGATGATCTATAGAATGTTTTGCGAAATTATTAAATAAACATTTAATTTGTATGGCATCACATATTAGAAAATTCATTTAACACAAATAATTGTTAAAACTAGTAAAGCACTTTAAGTAGCCTTTTTTGTTTCAACATTGTTGAAATAAACGTTTTTGCCTAACCATCAAATAAAATGAGCCAGACCTTTTCTGTATTTTGTGAAAATTGTGTGTGTGTGTTAAAATAATACATTAAAAATGTATTTTTTCATTTATGTTCTCAACGATGGTTTTCATTAAAATTATATTTATTTAACGTAGATTGAAATTAGCATTATTTTTGGATATCTTGAGATGTTATTGTACAATGAATCTCGGGCTCTATTCTTTACTTAGCGAAATTTTAGTAATTAATTAAGTGCTTCTAAAAAGATATATAGCACAGAGTACAAACAAAGAATTACTCAAAACGTCGGAAAAAACTCAATAAACGAAATCAACTGTCGAAGAAGTGAAGTGGGAAAATTCATATCTTAACCCTTTTTGTTAAATTTTCACAAATCATCTGAAGGACTCAGCTATTTCCAAAAACGGCCGATATTCAATCATAGTTTGAGTTATAGCGTGTGTGATATTTTAGATTATTTTTTTTCTGATAAAATACGAATCTACAATCAGCATTTTTTGAAATTTAGTTTAATATTAAACATTTGTTTGTTTAGAGTTTTGATAAATATCTTCTTTTTAGCGTCATCAAAAAAAAAAACATTTTAAACATCATCTGAATTAGTTTCCATTAGTTTAAACTGAAATAAAATAAAATCTAAAAACAGTTAAAAATGACTTAATAAAAACCCCCCAACGCATTACTAGAGATCTATGTAAGATCTAAACGCTATCAAACTCTATTACAGTAAATCAAAGAAAAAAAGTGCAAAAATGTGAATCCATGATAGCGCATTGCACAACAGATACCCAACAGAAAAAATAAACAAGTGTGAAAAGATGTGATAAAATAAAATTGTTCAATTTAAATATATCCTTTTGTGACTTACTTTTACTGCTTAAATTACGTTTCTAAGTGTAACCTTGCTAACAAGATACAGTTCTTAAAATTTAACGAAATATAATGATTATTTCGAATGGCAGACAAAGGTATAAAAGAATTATGCACAAGATGTGGTGGCCATTATAAATTGCTTGCAACATTACAAGTTTGGTTAATCCATACTGTCATTTATGTACAAATAAATTTCATCTACCTTTCCAAGGACAAATATAAACTAGCATTTCCCCTTTTTTCCATCAAATTCTGGGAAATCAAAGGAAATCAACATGAATATCTAGAAAATCAAAGTATCTGTTCACCAGCTATAGTTCGTTCACCAAGAGTTGGTTAACCAAGCTCTGGGCTCCATCTCTTAGAGTGCATTTCAGCACAGAAGTAAAACATCTCCGCTCTTGAAATTGAGACAACTCTTAATGAACTCCAAACGCAAACAGCGAATTTATTTTTCAGTCATTTACTTTGCTTTATCAACTGCTACTATACCGTTCGTTTCTCTGTCTTATCAAATATATTTTTAATTTAAAAACTGTTGATTTTCCAGCAAAATATCTCAAAAAGGAAAAACTATTCACTTAGAAATATCATTAAAAAATGGAGCGAAATATCATCAAATTTATGGTATATTTAAAGTTAAAAAAGTGCTCATGAAGTTTGAGAAATAAGTATTTTTTTCATACGATTGTTCTCATCCTTCTCCCAAAAATAGCGAAATAGTTTCGTCGCATACCACATGGTGAAGGCGGAGTCAAGTACCAACTCCAGGTGAACGAACAATATCTATCTATACAAAGACATCTTATCACGTCTTTTACAATAAGTGAAAGATGGCGGTATGGAAACGAGTTAATTCAGTCAAACAGTTATTCATAATTGATAAATCTGTATATAATATTACTGATTTTGGCAATATTAACAGAACATTTTTAAGCACTTTACCTAAATTATTAATGTCTGTCCGAGGTCTTCACGTGAATTAAGACTGATCTTTGAGTGACACATACGGCAGTGTCCTCCAAAATAGTACTTTTTGAATGGTAAATCTTGTTTGTTGACAAACAATGATCCCGACATTACTTATCACATCGTGTCACCTTATTTTATTAAAATTTGATTAACTGAATGAAACGCTATTTCAATCTGCTCAGAGTTATTCGTTGCTCGATCTTAAGGCTTTTTTTTCTATTGGTTTGAGCACTCCGTTGCCACCTAATGAACAGGCAAAATGCAACTATTTGCACCTATTTTCGGCGTGAGGCAACTATGGCAACTTTTTTTTGCCTGAAAAGGTCAAAAAGGCAACTATTTTCAGGAAAAGGAAACAATGGGGAGTCTTTTCCGTACTCCTAGCGATGCTTTTCAGCATAAATTAGGTTAGCAACAATAGGAGACTATGGGGAGACTTTTCTGTACTAATAGTGATGTCTCTTTTATCATAAATTTGGTTGAAAACCTGGAATTTTTTTTCTCAATAAAAACATTTTTTTTTTTTGCATATTTTAAATAACAAATATGAATCAATACTTTTTAATTTCTTCAATTTGCGCAGATTCCATTGTAAGTCTATTTCGTTTCTCGATCGCCTTTTCAGCGGTAAATGCTACAAAATTTCGCATGATTTAAAAAAAAAAAAAAAAATTTTTAATACGATATTACGATTCGTGAATTTAAAAGGGAAATTTTTTAGAAAAAGTACATTCTTAAGAAAAGGTATTTTTTTAATGAATTCTTGTAATTAAAAGTATTTATTTTTCTGAAAATATTGTTTCGTATAGTATATAGTAAAATTGCTTCGATTTAAGAACTTAGTGCTAGAACGTTTATATTAAAATTATCTTATTTGCAACCGATTTGACTAAATGGATCATGGTATATGACAATTAATAAAAATTTAGTCATATTTTTGTTCTTATTTAGGCAACTATTTTCATAGCTTCCAGCAACTATTTTCATGCTACTAAAAGCAGCTATTTTGTTCATTTTTTCTGTGGCAAACCTGAATGCATCATCTTCCTCATGTGCCTATTTTACCCCGACTTATCTTAGCAGTTTGCTTTATTGAACCCAAAAATTTTCTTTCCGTTAAAGATTCTCCTCTAGCGTAAAACACATTTGAGTGGGAACAAACTCATTTAAAGACTCTTATTTACATTAATGTCCATTAAAACATTATAAGTCCGAACAACTTGGATACGGTTTTCTATTTTACTGGCCTCAATTGATGGGCTCTAGAGAATAATTCAATTGAACATTTTATACTCAATAGAATATTAATGAAAATTGTGTGCTATTTCTAGCCGAGTTTCAGTTATTAGAGGACGAGTTGTGAGTCGTGAAGGAAATGGACTTATTGGAATCAGAGTGAGTGTGGCAACTGATCCTCAGTTTGGATTCACTCTAACTAGAAGTGACGGATGGTAAGTTCCCATAATTTAGTCAGCTCACAATAATTGCACTTTATATTCATTTATTTTATACCAGCATTCTCCTGCAGTAAAATTCAATTCACAGCCTGCATTACAATGTTAACTAATTGATACATGAACATAAACATGTACAAACAGATCACAATAATTGCACTTTATATTCATTTATTTTATACCAGCATTCTCCTGCAGTAAAATTCAATTCACAGCCTGCATTACAATGTTAACTAATTGATACATGAACGTAAACATGTGCAAACTGATTTAAGCAGCGTAAAAACAATAAAACTGTATAGTATCTCTTGATAATTAAGATTTTACAAAGAATCTATAGTGCGTCTAATAATTTGGCCAGGGACTGTATATATTGCCCAATAAAGACAAAAAGGATAAAAAGAAAATTAATAAGTTCTATTCACTGTGCATAAGCTGCAAGTACGCATAAAAATATTAATAAGCTGTATAAAAATATTTTAAATCACTCTTGAAAGATTCCGGTAAGTTCATTTAAATACGCTACTCGCTTTATAAATTAAGTTTTGTGTTCTGTATTTTTGTTACAATTTATTTTCTGTTTTTTGCTTGATATTTCGTATATTTTTTACTTAAGGTTTGCGTTCTTTTTACGTTTCAATTTTGTTTAGCTGATTTCGAGTAAAGTGAAAAATGTGACAACCGTAAAAATTTTAAGATACATAAAAAAATTCTCTTAACTAACTATTGAAATAATTTTAAATCGATTTTAATTTCAAAAACGTTTCACAACACCGGAAGATTTCTTGTCGAATCCCTTTGTTTCCAGTAATAAAAGTGCTTTCTATAATTTTTCCCGCCGAATTTTGTTCTAAAATTTGATTGCTTATAATTCTTTAGGTTTGACATTCTGGTGAATGGTGGTGGTGCAGTAACTCTTCAGTTTCAACGTAATCCCTTCCACCCAATTAAACGAACTGTTATGGTGCCTTGGAATACGGTCATGGTTATGGGACCTGTAGTAATGTCAGCTACTATAGAAACTGAAGTTCAAGAAGATTTGTTGCAACAACAAAATCCATGTTTAGATCATGACTATGACATAATGAAACCAATTGTCTACCAAACATGGAAATCGGGATCACAAGGAGCTTGTACTGAAAATAGTGCAATAATGGCTGAAACACAGGTCTGCTTTTTTCAATTATCATAATGTGAGGTTTATCTATTTCTTAAATTATTCCATATATTTCTTACGTTCTATTTAACACCAACACTTAATATATACCTATTTCTATCATAGCCAGTCAAATGACAGAACTTTATGTTTCTTCATTGAATGTATGAAATATGGATGTTAGGAAGGAAATAAACTAAAACAACTTTATTATAATACAAGGAAATTGTATATTGCCAATTTTTATGTATTACCAACACAAGGAATAAGAATTTTTAATTCATTGCATATCGCATTTTTTACATATGCACGGTACATTCCGTTGTACATTTTCCGCAAACATATTTCTTGTAATTATTATTATTTCTATAATTCTTATAATTATAAGAATATATAAGAATTATAATTCTTATAACTAATATTAATTCTTCTAAGAACTTGTGCTGTCTTGATTGTTTCGACATTTTTCTGGGTAAAAATTAACAGTTCGTCAGAAATGAAGTAAAGCTATCAAAATAAAATATAAGCTACATACCAAAACATTTAGTTTTTGCCACTTTTTCTTACACGAAAATACCAATCTAAAATTTTAGGTACTTTCTAGAAATTTGAATTCATGCATTAGTCTTTGCAGAAATGTGCAACTAATCGAATGCAATACGTTGAGCATGCATTACACCGTAATTTCTGATCCGATAACCTTATAAAGCGATAAATTGTTCTCCCGGTCAAATGACCGGTTGTGGTGAGATAGGTATACGACAAGTATTACTGGAATAAAACCAAATACGTATTAAATAAAATAATAATAGATTATTAACTGTAACTAATTGTTAGAAAAAGTCATGAAGTCAAATGTGCAAAAATGATGCATTTTCGATGCAAAAGTTTTTAAGCAGTCATTTCACCGGTATGATATGTGTTAATTCTATAAAATTTAATTATTTATTATATTTTTTGATTGTAGGTACTCCAAGAGAGTTTCTCGATTCCAGGATCAGAATTGCATCTTGTCTATCACAGCAGCCATGCTCAAGGATATCTTTCAACTATTCACCTTCAACTCACTCCTTCAACAATTCCAGAAAATCTCCGTCTTGTTTATTTAAAAATTGTAGTTGAAGGTTATTTAATGGAAAAAACATTTGAAGCCGACCCAGATATTAAATTTACCTTTGCATGGAATAAGAGAAATGTCTATAAGCAGAAAGTATATGGCTTAACGTCTGCAAGAGGTATTGTCTTCTTTAATGCACTTATCTATCTAGAGTACTTATTTATGTATAGATAAGTTCAAAATGTAGAGAAAATTACAGAATAAGGAAGATAATTTCTTCATCAGCTCATACTATTATATGGGCAAAAAGAAGTGCTTTCTAATATTGTATCAATATAGCCAAAGCAATTTATTAAAAGAAAAGTGTGAGGAGCACTCAAAAATATTTTTGAAACAAAATAGAATAGATATCAGGTAAAAACCTTATAGTGAATATATATTATAAGGTTATCTTCCTAAACTTACTAATAAGGGTAGTGTTATCAAAATAGTCACAAATCGATGTGTTTTGCGTCGCAAACGATTACGTGTTCTCCATTAAAGTTGCCTGATTGATGCAACTTAATTAATTAGAGTTCATATCATTACACCATAAAAGTACATTTTTGAGGACATTAGATTGAAATACAAAGTTTCTATAATTAGAAAAATGTGTCTTTTTTAGTGTCCGTGGGTTATAAATATAGCAGCTGTGAGCGAATTGTCTGGACTGTTCAAGCCACCACTTTACGTGGATATGATATGGACATTTCTGAATTAGGATCCTGGAATTTAGATGTTCATCATCGATATAATTTTCATGAAGGTAAGCATTATATTAATCTTTCTAAAAAATTATCCAACCTAAATATTTTACTTTAATAAAGAAAATCTACGCACAGTTATTCATCAAAAACACTTGAAATGTAAAGTGAAAATTTTGAAATTTATACTTTTGAGGTTGAATCAATCAGCAATTTAAATTTAGTAACAGTTATTACTAACTACGTATAATTGTTTTTTGCAGGTGTTCTACAGAAAGGTGATGGTGCAACGATTTATTTTCGTCAGCAGCCGAGAGTTTTATCTATTCTTATGGGTAATGGTCAGCCACGCCCTCTTCTTTGCCCAGATTGTAATGGTCTTGCCAGAGATAATAAACTTTTATCACCAGTTGCTTTAGCAAGTGGCCCTGATGGCAGCGTTTATGTTGGTGATTTCAATCTTGTGAGAAGAATTACGCCAAATGGTCAAGTTTACACAGTTTTTAGAATGAAGTAAGCTTATTCTTTTAAATTTAAGAATATCAACACGCTAAAACACTTTTGAACGAAAGTTATTTTTTGTCCTTTTTATCACTTGTGTTGACCCTTTATCACTGGTCCTTTTCATCACTGATTAAACCCATTCAACACAAAAATGAAATCCTTATGCTGTACCCTATCTCTCCCCTTATTTTATGAATCATTAAAAAAACTCTGACTTAGGCCCATCCGAAAAATACACGATAACCCGTAGCAGCACGAGAGCACCAAGAAATGTGGATCTTAAGACACGAAACCCTGATTGGGCACCACAATTGCATCCATGGACAAAGGAAGCTTATGAGTAATCTCCAAACTTAGAGTCTACAATCACAGGGTGACAATGCTGCTCGTCTGCAAACGATCCATTGGATCGACAGAAAACATCTTTTGTTTTGGTACTTATTGTTTATTTCGTATAATTTACAACCCCTTTACGGAAGACTTTCTTTGTTCCATTCACTCCATCATCTCGGCTATATTATTTTGTATACTACTCACACTTGTGTAAATACAATACATTGTACTCAAGAACTTTTGCAAGTGGTTGACTTGCTGTCGTGTTAATTGATCAGCAATCCAAGCATCTACAGAATTCACATAGAAAGGATCACTTGTGAAGCAAAAAAAGAATATTGTATTGCAGTCTCTCATTTCAATATGTATGAGTTGGATGATATCCTAGCTAAAAAACGAACAAATTGGGGCTTGGAGGGTGACTCGAAACAGGAATCAGCTGCTTTCAGGTTGGCAACTCTACACACTCAAGTATAATTTGTCTAAGCTCCTCCCGCCACAAGGGTAGCTTCACTTTAAGACTAACACAATAGACAATCCCTTTCTCTCTCCGACTCGAGCCAAAACAGTGACACCGCACCTCTACTTGAAATATCTGGGGGAGTTCTTATTTTAGACAAACAATACCTTCCTTACCCAAATTGTACTCTGAGCAATGAGGAAGCCCTGATGAATGCTGAGGGCCTGGGAATTTGCAGAGCAGTGGTAGGAAATACATACAACAGATACTGGAGAGGTCGTGAGCTATTATAAGCCCTGCAAACTGAATGACTTTCTAATAACTTTTTGTTTATTTTTATGTTTTTCATATTTTTCATACTTTTTCTATGTTCTAATGTTTTCACTCTGCTTTTAATGCTTTAATGCTTTTTTTAATGCTTTAATTTTTTAAATGTTTATAATCTTTTAATTTTTTATATCTTACATGTTTTGTTAGATGTTAATTTATGTTCAATGCTTATTCTCCTAATATGCCTGCTTGGAGTATTTGCGAACTGCAGCGAATGATATATGTATCAAGTGCTACTGCTAAAAATTATAGATACACACACGCACACACACACACACACACACACATATATATATATATATA